AATTTAGTCTCCCTTGGCCCACACCCACTGCACTGAGGTATTGATAGAGCCTGTCTACTTGTCATTCGACTTAGAGCTGCAGGAGGGCAGGCACTTTGGCTGCCCCCTCACCTTTGTGTCCCAGTGTCCTGCACAGTGCCTGGTACACAGTCGGAGGCCAATCAATGATGGTTGATGAAAAGAACGGAGAATGGTAGGAAGAAAGAATGTTGGCGCCTCCAAACCGTACACACAATGTGGATGAGTGGTGTTGAGTGGACAACCACTTGGCATTCCAGCAAGACTGGACAGCAGGCCCTCCAACCAGCAGAGTGCTGTTCATACCTCTACACCTTCACGGCTGTCCCTGGGTCAGAACCCCCTCCCCACCCTCATCTGCCTGGGAAACTCCCAGCCTCCTCAGTCTCAGCTCAAAGCTGCCTCCTCTGTGAAGCCATCCTGCACTCTCCAGGCAGACTTGGCACCTCTGTCTCCCCATGAGCCTATAAACTCCTTGGAGTCAGAAAGTGCGTTTTTCAATCATTGGATCTCCATATTTTGGCCCAATGCTAAGCATAGGGCAAGTATTTGTTTTCTGTTATTGTTATTGCTGGTAATTCCTTCAAACTATAAACAAAGCTCCATCAGAATCACCACCACCCTCTGTAACAAGCATTCATTTAGCACTAAATGAGCATGGGGAGCTGTGTGGTGGTGGGGCTGAGTCACTGTCCCTCCCAGCGTGGGGGTGGGGAGAGTGACAATGTACTTAGAGAACATAGTCCACAGCATCAGGTAGCAACCATCAGGATGAAGCCTCACTGTGTGACAAATGATGGCCCTAAGCATGGAGGCCAGCTGAACTGGGTCTCCTTCACCGACTCCTGCATCACGATGGTTCCAGGGTTTCTAGAAACCCTGAGGCTGGGAAGAATTGAGCTTGAGAAAGGTCTTTTCAAGCCAGTTCATGGGTGCCAGTTTGCTAAGAGACCATCCCTGGGAACAGGGTTTGAACAGAATCCACCAGTCCCTGAGTTTCCAAAGCACCAGGAGTGAAAAACAGAGTTCTAGTCCCAAACCCATGAGCATCTGGGTGACCTTGAAACTGCCTCTTAGTTTCTCTGTTTCCTTAGCTGCAAAATATGAATAATAAAGGCCAATTGTTTTAAGCCCCACAGGGTTCTCAGGACCAGCAAGTGAGCTGCCCGGTTTATTGACTGGAGCATATTTGTGGATATCAGGAGCACTGGCAGGGACCTCCAAACATTAAAAACCTTTTGTGCATCGGACTAAAATTGGAGTTGGTTGCCTTAGCAAAGTTGGCTACACATTTCATTGGCTGGAAAAGAATTTGGTTTGCCTTTTGCTTTAATTGGTTAAGTTTTTAAAGGGTGTTTTAATTGATCCATTTCTTCTCCTCTGAAGCCACAGTGGCTCTCACTCTAATACAAAGGTGCCTTGTGACCTGGGATGCTGCTGGAGCTCTCTGTGCCTGATGCCAGCCAAGGAGCAAAAGGCCAGGTGATGATGGCAGAGGTGGTGGTGAAAGCAATGGGCCATCCTACCACTTACTGGGCACTTACTTTAGTAAACACTCGAATAAACACATTGCTTACATCATTGCGTGTGGCCCTCACCAGGAAGCATTGTTGCTCTGTGTGAGTCCAGGTCCTCCCAGAAGCAGACACCAGGAGGGGATTTTGTGCATGGATTTTATTAGGGGAAACGCATGTGTGAGAGAAGATGGGAGTCCATCTGGAGGTTAGCACGTTGTGAGTCTGGCCCCAAGTAAAGAAGAGAGGGAGGGAAGGATAGACAAAAGCATCGTAGACCGCCTGCAGCCTAAGGAAGGTTCAGCATGGCAGTCAAGGAGATCTTGAGCCAAAGTTGGCATCTAAGGAGTCGTGTGTCTCCCAGGAAGACACCTGCCTTAGAGTCCCTGCGCACTCAGTCACGGGCTGGGAGGTGCCCACGGGGCAAGCCCACAGTGGACCTCCACAGCAGCAGCCCAGGTTCTTGGTCGATTATGCTCCCTCCAGTTGGAGGCCTACAAGGTGCACGCTTGCTCATGGCCACCACCCATCCCTACTTCACAGAAGAAAAAACTGAGACCCAGAGAGGTTCAATGACTCAACAGAGGCCACGTGGGCAGGGAGTAATGGGGTCAGGATTAAAATGAGAGAAATCTGACTTCAAAATCAGTTCTTGTCTGGAGCACAGGAACAGAAAAATAGGAAACAAAGAAATTCCAGGTGGAAAAGGCCCTTTTGTCCAAAACTCAGAGGCACTTATCTCTGACAGGCATGAAAATATTTTCCAGTCTCTGAGACTAACCATTATCATTTCCTGGAGGTGATGGAGGTTTTCCCCACACGATGAATCAATAGTGGGTGGGTCACATCAGTAACAGCCTATCCTGCTTCGCGGCTCCAACTGATGAGACAGGAAAGGCAGGCAGACAATATCTCTTCTGCTCATGTTCATTTTAAAATGTTTCCTCACAAACATTAG